CTCTCTCACTCACACACACACACACACACACACACACACACACACACACACTCTCACACTCACACACACACACACACACACACACACACACACACTGACCAACTGCAGCAGCGTCAGACCTTCTCCCAGCGTACAGATGCTCAACATAAATATCCCGCAGAAAACCAGTCCTGATGAGGATGCTGTCGTCATGGAGACCAGCCCATAATGGACTAAATAATAAACTTTAATGCCAGCCCATGGGCTTCTACAATCTAATGTATTCTGAGGTGTCATGAAATATTTTGAAGCAAATATAGAAAATGTACTGAATCTAAAAGCACGAAAAGTCTTTCTGACATAAACGCTCCGGACTGAAATGATCAACAACATTTCCATTTACTGTATGTGCAGCATTTCATTATGACAGTTATTGATGTGCTGCTTCTAAATGAGGTGAGTGAACTCTGTGCTGTCTGATTAGGCCTCGTTTGCGTGATGAGTTTATTATCACTCATATTCTCAGATTTACAGGCTTGATGTTCCTCAAAGCACGTCTGAGTTCTCCAGGTGTTATTGGATTAAATTGTTCTTTTGTTGGCCTGCATGCGCATAAACAATCTGGAAATGCTGGATTGGATTAGTGTTTGTGAGCTCTGAATACTGAGCAGGCATTTCTGCTGTTTAGTCCTGCGTTCAGATGAATCTCATATCTGTTATTTCACAGCTTTGACCTTCTGCTCGCTTATATTACACATTAACCCCTTCAGTCCCGAGACATATAATATATTCATATAAAATGTAAACACTTCAGTTTATATAAAATAAATGTATATTTTATATTCACTTGGAACTAAAAGACTGATAGTCTAGTTTTAAGGTAATAATACACTTTTAAGACTTACTTTATGATTTAATAATTCATGCATTTGATGTTGCTGAAACATGTTCTTGAAGGTGAAGGTGTGGTTTATTCTGTCTGTATTAGTTTGTCAGATGAACTGATTTTTCATTAAACGTCACTCTTCATAAGTTCTCAAGCAGAAACAATGATGTTCTGAACAGGATTGTTATTATTATAATTAACTAAAAGTAAACCTAAAACCATAAAAAATGTTACTTGACATAAAATAAACATTAACTAAAATAACATTATAAAAACTTAAAAAAGTTATTTTACATGTCTTATTTTTATTTAGTTTAACGATGTACTAAATTTAACTAAAACTATACAGACATATAAAAAATTATTAATAAAAATGACAAAAACGCACAAAAAGTTACTAAAAATGTAACCAAAATTAAATGGAAATGGAAAAAAAATAAAATAAAAAAGGAAAATCAGAAACAATGATGTTCTGAACAGGATTGTTATTATTATAATTAACTAAAAGTAAACCTAAAACCATAAAAAATGTTACTTGACATAAAATAAACATTAACTAAAATAACATTATAAAAACTTAAAAAAGTTATTTTACATGTCTTATTTTTATTTAGTTTAACGATGTACTAAATTTAACTAAAACTATACAGACATATAAAAAATTATTAATAAAAATGACAAAAATGCACTAAAAATTACTAAAAATTTAACCAAAATTAAATGGAAATGGAAAAAAAAATAAAATAAAAAAGGAAAATACTATATATATATATATATAATTAGAACATTAAAACGTGTTTTCATTACCTGAAATAAAATAAAACTTACAAATATTTCTCATTTTCATTTATTTTACCCAACACACAACAAAATTACTGTAACTTTAACTCAATTTAAAATGAAAATGGGAAATACAAAAAAAAAAAAAAAACTACATTAAAAAAAAATCACTTAAAACATTATTTGCATTACCTGAAACAAAATAAATGTTAAGTGAAATAAAATAACACCTGTTTAACATTTTATTTTAGCTAGTCATCATTTCTTATTTTCATTTAGTTTAATATAAAGTACTAAAATAACTAAAACTATACAGTCATATATAAAAAATTAAAGTATGTCAAAATGTCAAAAGCACAACAAAATGAATACAACTTTAATGAAAATTAAAATGAAAATGGAAAATGCAAAATATTTGGAAAAAATTAAACCATTAAAAAGTGTTTTCATTACCTGAAACAAAATAATTAAGTGAAAAAAATCACAAACTTATTTTATTGTAGCTAGCTGTCAAGGCAACAGCTCTCATTTTCATTTAGTTTAACTTGATGTGCTAAAACAGCTAAAATAACTGAAATAAAAATCAATAAAAACTATATAGACATATTAAACAAAAGAGAATTAAAAAGACAAAACACACAACAAAATTTACAAAATTAACTAAATTCAAAAGAGAAAACTCAATTCAAGTTTATTTGTATAGCACTTTTTCACGATACAATCGTTGCAAAGCAGCTTTACAGAAAATTAAGTTTCTACAATATATTTAGTAGTAGCTTATCAGTGGTGATTATGTCAAATTGATGTACATATGGCAGAAATGTACGGTAAAATTCAGTTAATGACAGCATTAATTAACAGCAATGATTATATGTTGCAATCAAACTTGTAGCAACATTTGGTAGTTTATGTTGTTTCAGGGTTGGCATCATCAAATGAAAGATAAAAACAAAAACCAACTCAAAGTATTGCTAGAACGATAACTGCGTCTGAAGCAGTGGTGGATGTGAGCTGTTTGATGAGGAGGAGCTCCGCTGGTGCTGATGCTGCAGCTCTATATAAGCGTCTGAGAGCATCAGAGCATCAGTGTGTGTCGAGATGTCCGACTCTCTGCTGTCTGCGTGTGTCCTCTGTCTGCTGGCGCTCTCTGCGCTCTCATCCGCCTGCTACATCCAGAACTGCCCTCGAGGAGGCAAGAGATCCCAGCCAGAGCCCGTCAGACAGGTACAGACCAGCATCTTCATCATCAGCATCATCTTCATCATCATCATCAGCATCATCATCAGCATCATCATCAGCATCTTCATCAGCATCAGCAGCATCATCTTCATCATCAGCATCATCATTTTCATCATCATCATCATCATCATCTTCATCAGCATCATCAGCATCATCCTCATCATCATCTTCATCATCTTCATCATCAGCATCATCTTCA